AGCGTCAGGAGTTTGTCACCAGATGGTGTTTTTTGGACCACTTTGAGGGCCTAGATGAGGGTGATGGCACAGGCTAGAGGGCGGCAGACAAAAATTTTCCGTTTCAGTGCATGCAAGGCTATCGATTTAGGGGGTCAAAACATGTATCCCGAGTTTGTCACTCAAAGTCGTCTGGCTCTCGGACTATTAATCACCATCGGCTATAAAAGGCTATAAGAAATTCTACAGCCGGCTACAGAAGCTATTGGAAATCTTACAGCCGGCTTTAGGTATATAGTATTTTGGAACACACATTCTACTGCCAATTTTTACCAGGGAAGGCACGAAAAGTACAATTTTAAAACATGTTATTGGCACGTTCCACTAATGGGATTGATTAAAACCTACTTATCCTTTTCTTTCTCTTGTTTTTGTTGTACTCTGTTTAACAACTAACCCTCAAAAAAGCCTTTCCCTACGATACAATTTCACAGTTAAAAAAGCTTCCAGTGAATGAAGGGAGTAAGTGAGATTACTGAAAAATCAAAATACCTGTAGCGGTGATTTTGAACAAATCTCATCTCAAAATACCATTTTAAATAATTTTTTTTTTTTGCTGCAAGACCCCACGTAACTTTTCAACATTAAAATCGTCTTTCTAAAAATCACAAAAATGTTACTTATACTTACCTCCTTCATTTGCTGGAGCTTCAACCTACCCTTTGGTACACCCAATATTCATTCATAAAATGTGAAGTGTAAGTACGTATCTGTCAGTGCTTTATAGAAAGCACACATAAAGAATGTATTGAGGGATGCGACTGCAAGTATTTTTACATGCGCGTATACCGCTCTTTGAGACCTCAAAAATCAAACTTAAAAAAATCAATTTTTCGCTAAAAACTCCGGAAAACGCCCTTTAGGTACGCTGTAATTTTCAAATATTTTCCGGGGGGACCCCCGAACCCCCCGCCTTCCTGGGGGGTATTCCATACCCCCAGACCCCCCGGCGTGGGGGGCGCCAAAATCTGGGTTTGCACCCCCCTACGTGAAACGTAGATCCGGCCCTGGCTGTTTTGTCGTCACTCTCTCTCGCACTCATTGCGTAGATGCGGCGCGTCAAAGGAGACCACTCGGCTTTGCCAAGCCGCCCTTGTATCGTCCATCTCTCTCGCACTCATTGATAAGATGCAACATTCCGCGGTTCGTCAAAGGGACACCTGGCGCACACACACACTCGCAAAAATACAGGCTGCGCCTCGTAATTTGGTCCGCGGTGGTAGTGCGCTGGGGAATTCCGTTGCCGGCAAAAGCACCCAAGTGCTTTCCGAGTGTTCTATGCAAATGCTTAGCAAGCAATGTAAAAATAGTGTAAATTCAAAGTACGCGCTATCTTCTCGAGCTTTGATGACGTAGGCAATGGCGAAATGTCATGGTATGGCGGCATGGCGGCAGGCGGCCGCGGCCTTATTATTTACTTATTCTACCACGTAAACTTGCATGCCGCACATATCCGGCGTATCGCATTCCCGGATTATCTTTGAAAAAATGAAATTTTTACCGTGTTTTATTCGTGTTAAATGTAGGAAGTAATTTATTTATACTCCCTAAATCTCATTTCTTTGGATATTCTATGATTTAATTCTTTGTTTCTTCTAATATTCCGAAAATTGTGCCCAGTTTCTGCAGCTCTTCTCTACCGCTATGGAACAAATTTTGCAAAAATTGCTCAGCGGAGACAAAACTCCGGAGGTAAATTTTTTTCTCGTTGTCTCATTTAGACTATCTTTTTTACAATCTTACAATGAATGCTCCTTCACGGTTAGCATTTTTAGGGTTCTAAAAGCTCAAAGTAAGGTTCAGTGAATCCTAACCTCTCAAGCATGCCATGTGAGCTCGAGTTTCTAGCTCACCACGGATAGAAGGTTTTCTGGTCATAGAAAACTACTGCTAAAAGTTTCCAGCAAAGCCAACCTGACAAATCAGCATTACCAGAAGTTAATGATAGTTCATCGATAGAGCGCATTTTTGAGAATGTAGAATTGATGATTACCGTTGGTCACTCTTACCTTATATCAAAACAGGCTTTAACAATTTAATTTCCCCTCTCGCTGTGTTCTCAGGCATTCTTATCTTTCCAGCTAGTATGTTCTCATTTCTTAACCATGGACTAGCTCTGATCCTTGAAAATGAACTTAGAACGCTTATACAGAAGCTATTATTGGCACGTCACCAAAAAGCAATATATATAAATTTCTTCGCAATGGTAGCATTGAAAGAGGTTACGCCAATGTTATTGTTTGGATCCAATTCGATATAATGGAGAATTCCTATGATGACGTTGCCACTTACCGTTTATTGGCACCATCATCAGATAATGTGCCAAATGGTCTAAAACCAATCTCTGGCCCCCATTTTATGTAAGTATCTTCCCCTTCACATCAGTTATAGGAAGAATCAAACAGCAGACCCTATTGAAGCACATTACAGATTGATTGATTACTCATACTTAAAAACATATACTTGTCTCCCACAGAGCACTCAGGCACTCCCCGACACCCTAACGTTATTTGTGTATAGAGCGACTGTCATTGTCAGTAACTCTTTTGTCAACCAAGAAACCCAATAGTAACAGCAAAATATGGCTGATACAACAAAATACCTGGATCCCTTGTCAGTATATGTACTAGACATTGTAGTATATTGAAATGTTTCTATTTCTCTACATCCAAACATGTATCTGGTTTTTATCTTGTCCTCTTTTTAGGGTATGAAGGAGTTATCCGAAGCCTTCAAAAATCCTGAATCTATAGCTGCATTGTTTACCCTTCTTGTTGCCTCGGAAGATGCAAATATCCGACAGTATGCTGGTGTCCTCTTAAAGCAGCGGTTCACAAAGAAAAAGCGTTGGGCTGCTCTCCCTCCGAATGTTCAGAACCTGTAAGTAACCACCATACTGTCAAAGATGTAAGGTCATTCATGGTGAGCTTTTCTACCATTCTAAGGAAACAAGCCACATTACCATTCAGGCGTTGCCAAATTTCCTTTGATGAAACGCGACTTCCTGGTAAACTTAAAAATATTTTCCTCCCAATTTTCCTGATAACTTCATTCATAATCTCACCTAAAGATTCTGAAAATTTAAAGGAAAAATATTCATAACTTTCCTCATAAGTAAACATTTTACCGAAGGAAATATGGCAATCCTTGAATGTTCTTACGGCGTTCTTCCCTAGCACGGCAGTTTTGCTCTCAATATGTATGTAGTTGAAGATTGCAACGTTAGAATTAATGACCACAAAAAAGAATTAACAGTGACGGTATACAATTTTGTTTTTAATGCAACAAAATTTGCAGAAATGAGTGTGAGACATTTGGACGTATTTCTGCCAAACGGAACTATGTGCATTAAGACATGAGCCTTGAGACCCATGAGAATATATGCATAACAGGGCTCATGTCAAATTGTACATAGTTCCGTTTGGCAGAAATACGTCCATTTATGCATAATGGATTATGGACATATCATGGATGAAGAGGAATATTGTTTATTAAATCGAGGCATTAGTCAATTGAATCGGCTCCTGCGACTACATCCATCGTCTAATACAGGATTTCATAATTTTAGTGGCCTCTTTTGCCCCATGACACTGATGATTAAGACCGATCTCCTTAATAAACGTTTAATTATACTTAGGGGATGTTTTATAAAATTGCTCTACATTCCTATTACCTCATTCCATCTTGTTTTTGTAGGTTACAACAAATTCGTTGACACACATTCTAAAACACTGTATTGGGCATCAGATATTTTTGCACAAGACGATTCAGTTATAGCTTGTTTGGGAATGCTTAGTGAAAAGATTGAATTCAGGTCTTCATTTTGTTGCCTTTTTTTTGGGTTAAAAGTCCAATTGAGTCATGAGACCCAATGTAATTGATTTTTAAACATGTCATTTTTCCTTGAAGTTACACAAACTGGTCTAACTCTCTCATTTGTGATACCCTTCATCTGTATTAAAGGTAAAAATATGAAGCAAGAAAAACCTTAAAAGAGGAATAGTACTCCTTGCAAGAAGGAAATGAGCTGAGCTCATTTTGAAATTGTAACATTTCACTTTTAATAAACATTATTTTAGCTTCACTCACTTTTAGCTTTTCTCCTGCTTTAATTCTTTTTTATTGCATCATTTCACAGGCTTTCAACTAAGGTGAAGAATTTGTAATCAAAACAAAGAATGTATTTAAAGTTTTGATGACCAAATAAAGGAGTGTAAATGATTTATTTTGACGGTTGTTAAGTAGTCGTGAATTTTAGCCTATTGGAGGTCATTCAATTTGCTTTGCAGTGTTTTCCCTAGGTCTCTTTATCAGAACATACTTAGAAAGGCTTAAGTTTCCTCTCAGTCCTAATCAAAATCATCATTTTCCGTTATGATTTAACAAAATTGTTAAGCCATGAAATCGAGTCCCTGAACTTACTTTTCCGAAGCAACTGGTGTGTTTCAAAAACTTACTCTCTATTTTATTGTTTTTCTTATTTCAGAATAAAACAAGGGTCTTTAGAAGCCTTAGTCAAGGAGTCCACCAAACCTGTGAAAAATGCAATTGCCCAGTTCATCGCAGTTATTTTAAGGCACGAATTCAAAAATCAGAGTTGGCCAGAATTATTTGGTTTTCTCACAACCCTCTGCGCAAGTGAGGCAGTCAGTGATAGAGAGGTATATTTTATTGTAGAATATTTTTTAGCATAGAACGGGAGGACTGTAAACACACTTTCACCTTTCCAAAGTATAGGGTAATGAATGTGTCAACTCCCGAAAACACATTACAAGTAGATTTGTACGCATTTTTCAACCACCTTTTCCCCCCTACTTATCATATTTTTCAATTAAATACTGCCCAATGATGCAAACAAAGATCATGAAGGGGGTTCAAGTTGATGATGTTCTCTCATGTTCACTGTTCCCTCTCTACTCACTTTTCTTTTCCTTCTTCACCCTATTAATTCCTCCTCAATTTCTTTTTCTTCCTTAATCATTTTCCTCTTTCCCTCTCTGCCATCTTTTGATCATGGAGTGTCTCGACTTTGAAAGTGGCCCTTAAGATTGATGATTATGAGAGCTGAGGGCATTTTTTTTAATTATTATTTTAACTGATCTGTTTATCATCTGAATATGAAATTTTCCCAGAGTTTTCTTTGCAGAAAAGATAAAACAGGAATGTTATCAAGAATTAACTTCGAGTAGTTTTCCTTTTAAAAAATAAAGTATGACAGGAAGTTCAGCGTCGCAAACCGGGATACGTCGTCCGGTACTTTTATCGTCGTTGTATCACCTGTATGTCCTGTATGACATGGCACCATGTATGACCAGTAGCCATGCGCATGGCTCACGTACCAATTATAAAAATAAAATAAATAAATCACACTGTACCTTGTGCCAGTTGAACATGCTCCAGATATAATAGGAAAATCATTTGATTCAGGGATCTACTAGGGCTCTTCCTTTTTCCTCTTTGCTGCTGAATATGAAAACTACCCCAATCACTTACTATCACCGTAGAATTTTCAAAAACACGTTTTTATGTTTTTTTTTTGGCATTGAAGTGGTCATTTTTGGAAATTTAATTGGAATTTTACTATTACTGTAGAATTTTCGAAAACATGTTTTTGTGTTTTTTTTTTTGGCATTGAAGTGGTCATTTTTGGAAATTTAATCTTCCAGATGAACGTAGGTGATGGGAAAAATTCAAGGTAACCTCCAAATTCTGTAGCAAAAAGTAAGTGGGAGTAGTCATAGACAAGTAAATCACATAATCTTCCCAGCCTCCCAGACCTGGGGGTTTCATCAATGGTTTATGCCATTTAAGCGGAAAAACCTTGTTGCACCGCAAAAAAAAAATCGTTTTGACAGAAGACGAGATCTCCTGTGTCCTCATAGCTGCTAAATCTGAAAATGACCTTTGTTGTTCTCCATCGTACGCCAATTACTCAGGATATTGAAGTTTCCTTGTTAAAACAAAAGGAAAATTGATCTTTCCTCTTGCCTCTTGAACACACAAAAAATTCGTGATAAAACCGCACTTCTCCAAAATTAAAAAAATATGGTATCAAAAAATAAATGCTAACTATGGGCCAAGATAGTCTTTGTGAAACCATGAAACATTAATTTTTTTTTAAATCACTAAGTCTTTCCCTCATCAAGACAGTTGGACTGCATTTTGCAATTTGGAACTATAAATTCTGGCCCGGATTAAAAACAACGTATGTGCCATTAGTTTTCCTATGCACATGAGTGTTTTTCCAGAGGAGCCGGAATACATAGTTCCGAATTGCAAAATGCGATCCAGTTGGGAGCACGGGTTTTTCACCAGTTGTTTCTTCATTTTACAAATTCCATTCTGGGGCAGCGCTCCTAGGAAATATGTGCTGCTTTTTGCCTTACATTTAATACATGAAGAACAAATTCTTCACAACTTTGACACCGATTATTATTTTACTTTACTGCTGTAATATTTGACATTAATGTATTCACACTAAACATTTCAGCTTGGAATGTACGTTGTTGGAATATTTTTGGAAATGTCAAGAGAACAGTTTGACTCACAAGCCCCAGCAATCTGCAGTTTGTTTAGTAAAACTCTAAATGAATTGGAAGACTTCACGGCACCTCTAGGCTACCTAACAATAACAGCCATGGGACACTTTGCACTCGCCATCGAAGGTCAGACAGACGTAAGTGACCAATGACTGAAGCTCTACTTCAATTGTAGCCTGTGCTCGAGTCATGTTTTTCTTTTTTATTGGTTTCTAAAGTGTGATAAAACCACCTATAAAGGTGTTAATTATCTTCGAGTCATGTTTAAAATTCTTTAATTTAAAATGTTCAATGGAGCTCTTGCATGTTTCAGAGATTTGCGATTTAAGTTTTTTTCTCCTGTAAAAGTTCGTGAGAAACATAATATAGGGCCTTTGGTATTCTCTAAAACGAACCCCAATGCTCAAAAAAGCTCTTTAAGTTCAAACCGCAATACAGGTGATCCCCCTTGCTGAGAGTACACCTCTATGTCTAGTCAATCTCTCGGAAAACTTTAATTGTCAATCTTGCACATACGCACGAGTGCCAGTGTTGAGGAGGGGAAAAATGCAACCCCTAAAAGCTGAGTAAATTTATAAAGATAATAAACAGACCGTTACGATTTGATTGAATTTGTTGACGTTCTAAACAGCGCTCGAAACTCAGACGCCAAGTGCGCCTAATAAATTGGTCATGGGGCCCAAAAAATGATGGCTCTGCGCCGATGTGGTCCATTAAAATTGCCTCTCCCCACAAAAAAATCCTAATTTTTCTGTTCGGTGATTTTTCGAAATTTCTTCCAAGTTACAGCTGCTCAACTTGTTCTGTAACTAAAACATCTTGCGTCTAACTTTTCATTCAGTGCGCCGTGATATTTAGGCAAAAAATCAATTTGGCCCCTAAAAAATCTTCAGTGGCCCCTAAAAATCGAGCTTGATGAACCACATGGCTCCTGAAACTCAAAGATGAGTTTCGAACACAATTTTATTGCCCAATGATGCAAACACAAATCATGAAGGGGGTTCAAGTTGCTGATCTCCCATGTTCACTGTTCCCTCTCTTCTCACTTTTTCCTATCTGTCTTCACCCTATTATTTCCTCTGAAATTTCTTTCTCTTCCTCAATTCTCTTCCTCTCTTTTTCTCCGCAATCTTTTGATCATGGTGTGTCTCAACTTCGAAAGTGGCCCTTAAGATTGATGATTATGAGAGCTGAGGGCAATTTTTTCTTTTTCTTTTTTTGCATACTTTTTTAACTGGTCGATACATTATCATATTGTACCATGTGCAAGCTGAATTGGACTGCATTTCGCAATTTGGAATTCTAATGTCTGGTTCAGTTCAGAAACGACTTATGTACGAGTAGTTTTCCCAAGCACAGGAGTGTTCTTACAGATGGGCCAGAAATTTTAGTTCCTAATTGCAAAATATAGTCCAATTGACGGTTTGATTTTGGACTAAATTGTCAGAATTGATGCATGATCTGACCTCAGCTGGGCACTAATACCTTATACCCAGTGATTGTTAATTATTTCGATGGTACTGTTTTCACAATCATTTCCTTCCTCCAAGTTTGACTAATTTTGTAATGCCTCAAAGTCCCAAAGGAAATGTCAGGGAATTTCATTCTTTAAATTCTGTCATAACTCTACCCGGAAAAAATTAAATTGCTGATTTAACAATTCAATTGCTGATTTAACAATTCAATTGCTGAAATAATTGACTGCAACATCTCAACGTAGATTTTGCAACAAAAAAATGCTACTTTAACCACTATTGTGAGCTAATTTAACCACAGGGGTGGTTAAAGGAGCATTTTTTTGTTTTAAATTCTACATTGAAACATTGCAGTCCCTTTTTGTAGCTATTGAATTGTTAAATCAGCAATTTAATTTTTCCGTGTGACTATTTTGCCATCGTGTCACTTACTGTATCCAGGCCACATTTTAAGTGTTTTTTTTCTTGTTATTTACTTATTTGCCGAGTTTCTTATTGCAGTTCTATTGATGGTCGGTTGATGAGTATTTTGTATTTACAGCAAATTCAAATCTACAGCAGTTTGATTCCACGCATGGTGCTCATAATCCGGGCGCTGGCAACGGTAAAAGTGAACAAAGCGATTGAGTGCATTCAGTTCTTGGATGAGATGTTGACCTTCTGCCCAGCGCTCATCGCGCCGAACCTTGTTCCTCTCCTGGAACTAGGGCTTGGGCTTATGGCCGATAAATCTGTTGAAGAGGAGCTACGCATTCAGTCTTCACTTCTCGTGGACACCCTCATCAAGTCCAAGAAAAAGGTAAGTCGGAAAGCCCAGCGCTTGTGAGCTTTTTTCAGGGTTGCCACAGTCAGGGAAAACCAGGAAATGTCAGGGAATTTCGATAAGTCAGGGAAAACCGGGAAATATCAGGGACAATGACAAAAATGTCAGGGAACATTTGTTAGATCACCTTCATTTGCTTTCTAGAGTAGGTTTGAGGTTTCGAACAACAAATTTTGCTTGAAAACTATTTTCAATTATACCTCTCTAGCCATTCGTCACATCCTCAATTGCCAGAGAATTCCACACGGAAAAAAAAAGAATTGCTGATTCAGCAATTCAATTGCTAAAAGCAGTGAGTGCAATGTTTCAATGTAGATTTTACAACACAAAAATGCTACTTTAACCACCCTCGTGGTTAAATTAGTTTACAATGTGGTTAAAGTAGCATTTTTGTGGTTAAATTAGTTTACAATGTGGTTAAAGTAGCATTTTTGTGTTGTAAAATCTACATTGAAACATTGCACTCACTGATTTTAGCTATTGAATTGCTGAATCAGCAATTCTTTTTTTTCCGTGCACCAAAATGTGTCAGGGAAATGTCAGAAAATTTCATTTTCTAAAGTCTGTGGCAACCCTGCTTTTTTCCTTTATTACATGCAGGATCATAGGTCAGTTGTGCTGGTCACAGAATGGTGTTTTGATGCTTTCTTGTTGATCAGCCAAAAATAGTGTGATCTGTCCAAACAGCAACTTTCTGTGTTCAATATTAACGGAAATATTGCGTTTTGAATTATTCGGTTTCTGACGTCATCCGAGTGAACTCCTTGGTTTCTTCCATCTTGGTTTCATTAATCAGTGAAACACTCACTTGCACTGGTTACTCAACGTGAAACTCGGATGAAAGCAAGGTGGATGAAACCAAGGGTGTCACAACAGCAGGGGATGACGTCATGAACCGAGTTTTTCAAAGTGTGATATTTGGGTTAATATTGAATGTAGAGAGTAGCTGTTAGGACGTGTCATATTATTTCCAGCTGATCTACCAGAATCAAGCATTGAAACACAATTCTGAGACCAGGGCAACAGATCCATTAAGTGGGGTTCAGTTATAAGAAACCAAATTAAGTTGGATCTAGAGAAAAAAAGGTGTGAAGTTTTATCTGCCGTACTGCCCCATTAAGGAAAAGAGCAGTATGAATTTTCAGGGTTCAGTCGTAAGAAATCGAGCAGATTGTCTACTGTACAGAAAAAGTACAGATACACTGGAAAAGCACGGATTGCGAAAGGTCGGTACGGAAGTGCGGAAATGGTACGGATTTTCGGTGAAAAGGCACGGAAATTCAAGATTTTTATGACAAACTTTAGAAAATAGCCTTGGGGGTATACGATTTCCAGACATAATCCATTAATCAACATCTCAGCTCGATTCGTCGTGTTTTTTGGTTATTCCTTCGTCATTGCATCATTCCTTTTCCCAATCCACATACAGTTAAAAATGCGTGTGAAGTAAAGATAAAGTAAGGAAAAGGTAAGGAAAAAGCAAGGAAAAGATACTGAAAAAGCAAGGAATTCTAATCACAGGGACACCCTGTAATAGTGGACACCCTGTCAAGCCAAATTAAGTTGGATCCAAAGAAAAAGAGATGTGAAGTTTTATCTGCCGTATTGTCCTGCTAAGGAAAAACGCAGTATGAACCTTCAGACGTTGATAAGCTTTTTCCTACAACAATCCTTGCTCTTAATTTGAAGTTTAAACTGTTTTTATCGGGATTCATCGTAAATGATAATTTTACCTTGGTTTTCCCCAAGTTTTAGTGTAGTGACCTGACGTTGATCGGAACGAGATGGAAATAGCTATTGTCCCAGTCCAAAAAATCAACGTGATTGGGGAAAACCAAGGTAAAATTATCCATTCTTGTTCTATTTAAACACATTTCAGACTAATGTTCCTTTGATCTTCTCAGATGATTGTCAAAATGAATTTAATAGAACAAATCCTACGAGTTCTCCTGTCAATCATGAGTGAACCGCCGGAGTCCGACGAAGACGAAGAGGATGATTATTTTGAAGAGGATCCAGATATTCGCTCCATTAGCGTCTGCGCGAATCAAACTCTGGATGTCCTTGCTCTACATGTTCCTCCTGAAAAACTCATCACACCTCTTGTAAGTCCCCTCTTATTTGCTAGGAATATTTCATTCCTCCAGAAATAACTCTGAATGGTGTAATAGCATTGCCGTATCAATTTCGCTTTCAGAATTTTTTATTTATAAGATTTGTCATTCACAAACTGGAGAATTTGCATGCAAATTTTTTATTGCTTCATCTGAAAGTGCTTAAAGAGCTGATTTCACAGTATTTTTTATAATTTTTTCTGATATGGGAAATAGTATAAAAATACATTTAAAAGTGAGAAAATGCACCGCCTAGTGACGTGATCTGGCAGCATTTTCCATTTAAACAATCTTCTCCAATAATTGTTCATTTTATGAACCAAGGGTATCCTCGTGTTCAGTTCACTTAGTAGTTTAGACTTAAACCTGAAATTCATCAAATTTCAGACACCTGCAAATCCTCAATTGAAGATTGAAGTGTCTATTTTGAAGATGCGGCAAGGCAGATTTTGTTTCCAAATCAAGCTTTTGATAGAAAAGTGATCCTTTTCCTTTTGCTGTGAAGTTTTTCTTGTCTTCAGAAAAATTTTGTTTTTCAAAGTTGGCACACTTTTGAAATAAACGCTTCAATTACAGATTCTAGCACCAATGTCACATGTACTACATATGTACCTATGATGCTCGTCTCAGAAAGTAAGTTTCTGTATTCCTTCTCTCGAGAAACATTGAAGTCAAAATAATCTCAAATGTACTGCTGAAATGCGTGGACCCCCAGATCTCGGATAGTATATCTACAGCGTAAGTCCGCAACCGCATATCTCAGTTTACTATGCTGCAGACTTCCTGTCATACTTTAGACAGAAAATTACTCTTTGGCAATTCTTTAAAACTGCCGTGATTTTTCTTCTCAGTGCAAAGAAAATTCTGCCAAAACTCCAAGGAATGATGTCAAATTGTTCTCCTTTTATAAAATAATATATAGGCGGAGATTGTCAAACACCGCAAACGAGATATGTGGTTGCAGACTCACGCTGTCCGTATGTATCTTTGTTTCTTTGTAATCAACTAATCACTTTGAAAATTTGATTTTGCTTTAGCCACCGCAGAAAAATGTTTTTGACTTTCATGAGAGTCGCATGAAGATAAAATTTCTGAATTACCTAGTTGTTGTTTCTGTCTTAGTATTGTTTTTGAGAAGCACTAATAATCACACAGAAAATACACCCAAAAACCTGCATGCAAGCCTTGTAAAAGTTGGCAGGAACTTTTTCTCAGTGGCACGTAAGAAAAATGTAATTACCTAGTGATTGGTTGGCCCAATCGCAAAAACATATAAATGCTCAGTGCAAAATAAAAAATCTCAAGTGTTGTACACAGGACAAGAATTCTTAGACTCTATAATAGAAGGGTTTAATCTTTTTTAAAATTTTCTTGTAATAGCATGACCTTATTTTTCCTCGGGTTTTTTCTAGATGAGTTTTCTTGAGCCAGCATTTACCGGTGACAATGTATGGCAAAAGAAAGCTGCTTACCTTGTCATTGCAGTGCTAGCGGAGGGGTGCTCTGAGTACATTCGAGACCATTATCTAAATGATTTCATCAAAGTGATCATTCAAGGCATCAGTTCAGAAAACAAGCATGTACGAAATGCTGCTCTCTTTGCCCTTGGCCAATACTCAGAATACTTACCGGTAAGGACACATGTTTTTTTTGTCCTATCAGAGTTTGAAGAAACGTCAAAATACAGTACTTTCTCTCTGTAGCGAAAACTCAAGAGACTGGCCGATTTCCTTGATACAGAGAGACTCTCGTCATAACAATAGTGGATATTTAATATAGGAAGTTCAAGGAGCCGACGAATTTCCTCGTTACAGAGAGAAAGTATTATAATTGTTTTTTAGTTTTTTTTCTCTATCTTTGTCTCTCCCTTAAAAAAATACAAACAGAAATAATCTCTAAATATTTAAAATGATTAAAACTTCCCCTACTTTGATGGGAAAATTTAATGCATTGCTCGCGACTTATTATTCAGAATCTCTGAATCTGGTGTTTCCATTCAACTCTGCAAGAATCACTCTATTAAAAATATTGTCCCTATCAACTAAGATCCTTTTCCGGAAGGCGATCACATATTGATGGCTAAAATGGAAAAATGTGCATTTCAGATTGTGCCATTAGAATTTTCCGCTCATGTTTCAATGGAACGAGGAAAACAAACGAAAACGAACAAGCAGTTTCTTTTGAAATTTGTCCGTGAAAGTCCCAACCCATGTATCTTATTTGAGATGTTACAGACTTCCTGTCATATTTTATTTTTTTCAATTGAAACTTGGTCAACGTCATTCATTTGAAACTTCAGTGATTTTTCTTCTCCGTGCAAAGTAAATTCTATAAAAACTTCAAGGTATAATATTGATTTGTTCTTTATTCAAAAAATAAAAAGGAGTGGAGATTTTCAAACACTGCAAATGAGATGTGTGGTTTGGGATTTTAACTGTCGAATTGTCCGTGAATTTTATTCACTCATTCTGAAGAAACCACGCAAAATTGTAAGGAAACATTTTGATCAGTTTTCTGTGTAGAGAATAAAAGATAATAGGAGGTTTTTAAATGTTGCAATTCAGTGGTGAAATCGCAGAATTGTGTATCTCGGTTTGTGGCATTGCAGAAATCCTATTATTCTTCCCTCTTTATATGGAAAACTACTTATCGTCATTTCCTGAAAACTTTAGTGATTTTTCCCCCACATGTGAAAAATATTATTCTGCGAAAATTTCAAACCATGATCTTGTTTTCAAAATTAAATCAGATTGGTAATTTGAAACACTGCAACTGAGGTACGCATGTTTGCATCATTTATTTATGTTTGTATTTAGCCATTGCCATTGATCTGTCGTCACCTTCTGGCCAAAGTATTACAAGCGCCATGCGACATTTCAAGATTCTTGTTGCCAATTGTTTTTTACAGAGAAAGTTTTGACTGAATCCGTTTGAAAATGTGACGTAATTTTATCAGCAGCATGAAGAAAATTCAGTGAAATTTTAAGTCAGCTTCGTTGAACAATTTCTCTGTAAAAAAATAAAATGGCGCGGAATTTAAACGTTGCATGGCGCTTGTGATACTTTGGTTGGAAGGTGACGATGTGTTTTTTTAAACTTTCACCATCAATTTGAAGGCGCAAGATGGAGACACTTCTTTTCTGCATGCATATATCTGATCAGTCCTAAATCAGTTTTAACTTGTGCATGTAAATGTGTTTATGATTTTCCATGAAATCTGTGTTTGTTTCAGTCTGATCTCTCCATGTATGCAGAGCAACTAATGCCGAGGCTCTGTTTCATCTTGAATGGTCTCTGCTCAATCGATCCAAAAGAGCAGGATGTCGACAAGGATCCATCCTTTGATCGAGTTTTCTATGCTTTGGAAATGTTTTGTGAAAATTTAGAAGATGCTCTTCTCCCTTATTTGCCGCAAGTCATGGAGAAAGTTCTTATCCCATTAGATCGTAACCTCCCACTTCATTACAAAGAGCTTGCTCTTAGTGCCATAGGTAGCATTGGTAAGTTAATGTTGTATCAAGATAAAATTTCCAAGAAAAAAAGGTCAACAGCTGTCCTAAAACATCAGAGTGTTTGACAAATCATAAGTCCGCATTTAACCTTCTTGATAATTTACTGGTTTTGAGCAGCCACATACAATTGCATTTTTCCCTAGGGAAACCCCCCTCCTGGAACCCTTCTAGCTTAAGGCCATGCTTATCAAATATATGAGTTTAGCCACATACCGTTTTTTCAGTCATTAATCCTTACAAAATAATTCCTGAAAAATCTGTACTACAGCCAACTTTTGAGGCAGTTGCGGGTCAAGTGTGTCAAAATATATTTTAGTAGAAGTGGCTGAAGCTGAACTCCTAAGCTGCTATCGCAACAACTTTTCTTTTACCATTATCATAGCGTTTTGGCTTATAAATTGAATCTCTGTCATATTTAAATGATGCTGATAAATGCAAAATACTTGAGTAATTAGCTCATAGGTACATTAAAAGACAATTTAATCCAAGAAAAAGGTTGCGAAACAAAAAAAAATTGTGAAAATCAGGATGTTTTAGGGTACCAATACCTCACTTTTAGCCGGCAAACAAAGCAACTGTAGGAAAAAACAGCGAAAAATTCGTCGCTTGGCTAACATAAGGGCGTAACTACACATTGAGATGAGCCCGGAAAAGCATTGAATTGTATGGCCGACAAGGTTCATTGCAGAGTGTAGTTACGCCCTTATGTCAGGTAGGCGACGAATTAGTCGTTGACTGCTGTTATTGCAAAAGCGAAAGGAAGTTTCATCAGGCAATGAAAATTATACCCCTTTTTTACTCTGACATCTTAGATAGATACATAGTTATTTATTCAGAATAGTACATATTACACACTTACATAATTGACAACACAGAATGGTGCAGAGAGGGAAGAAACCTCGTCCGGCACAAGTAGTAAATCTGAAAGAGTTTTTTAATCATAACAATAGACTGATATATTTTTTGATGACAGGCTCCCTGTCTGAATAGAATGGTCTATCAATATACATTACAAACGAAATGACGAAATTTGATTTGCAATTGATATGATATTACACAAAGAACAACAAATATCTGTAAGGAAAAAAAAGAAAATTGATTGTTTTGCAAGCAGTAGAATATAGAGAGATTTAAGATAAATTGTCAAAGCATTTAAGTAAACAAACCTATCATATGTATATTTTTACTGTGTGTTTTTTAGCATCAGCAGTTAAGGGTCACATCATGCCTTACTTTGGAAAAATCATCGAATATTTGAAAGTTTACCTGGCAACGCCGCAGTCAGAGAACGAGGAGATCCTGCAGGTACAAACGATCGACACCCTCTCTGTGCTGGCGAGGTCGCTTGGAGCAGAGCATTTCCAACCTATGGCTGATGAGTGTCTCAATCTGGGCCTCAACTTTCTGAAAGACACAGAAGATCCAGTTCTGAAGAAAGTTTGCTATGGCCTACTAGCATCTCTTTCTACAGTCATGAAAGAAAAAATGACAGCGTATTTAAATGTCATCATGGAGCCACTCCTTGTTTCCATCGCCTCTGAAAACGGCATTATTCCCAACTTTGATGACAGGTATAACAGGATGTTTTTATTATTGTTCTCACAATTTTTCCATGGAGTACAATAGAGTCGCAATGTATGTACTGGAGAATCGATGAAGTCAATCCATGAACGGGCCATTCCGAGCCGCTTGTTCGCCGGAAAGTGGGAACGGTTCGGCATTTTACAGTGCGGCTCATAGGAGAATCGCGGGCTGTGAGTGATTTATGGGATTTATTCATTTAAATCAATCATTATTTCCGCGAATCTTTGCGAATTGTGATCATTAAAGTCATAAGAAATTAAAAAATGTACAACACTCCTGGTTTTTATGACTTAAATTTTTTACCCACATTTTCTGAGTGTAGACCGGAGCTGGGACCCCGCGCATACAGCATCGCCAGTCGCTGCACACGAGTCTCAGGAGTACTGGACAAAACAGCCTCAAAAAAGGACTTTATCGGCTCTCCAGAACATTGCGATTCTATTGTACTCTGTGATTTTTTCAGAACCAGTGAATTTCAGAATGTAGCGTCAATTTTCTTTTCAATTCTTTTCTCAAGTACTCAATAGACTAGGATCATTCAGATACCAAAATTGAGTGGAAGAATATTTTCAAAATGGTGGTACTTTGAGCTTATAAATGAACCACTTACCTTTGTACTTGGAAATTAAACTTAGAAATTTAATTCAGGAAATCACCAAGTATTGATTTTTATCTTTAATCTTTGCCTCACTTGATTCTTTTGTTTGACTGACAATGTCGACTCTTACATATTTTGTCTCGTATCTCACAGTTTGGCTTTTGTTGTAGTGATCTATACTTGCCGTTGGACGAAGGTGACGACGAAGCAGAAGAAGAAGGAGGAGAAATCGACATTAATGAAATGTCAGAGGCCAGTGAAGATGCTGTTGCTGGGTTTTCTGTAGAAAATGCCTACGTTGAAGAGAAGGGAGAGGCGTGTTCAACGCTACGAGACTTTGCAGAGAATATTGGGGAGCCTCTATTACCTTACATGAAAAACGCGATAACTGAGGTGTTTAAACTCATTGATTATCCGCATGAAGATATCAGGAAAATAGCCATCGAAACGCTCGCTCAGTTGAGCATAGTTCTACACAAAAGTACTCAGTTGGAGTATCAACAAGGTAAGAATTCTTACATACTTTTCTCATGCCTCCTTCCATACCCAAACTGTATTTTCCATCCGGTAGTTGTTTTTCTTCTTTATCCTTGTTTTGTCAACCCTCATTCAAATACTACAAAACCCCGAACCCAGAGTCTACAAAAAAATAGCTATCTTCCTCTCTCACAACAAAACCCAACTGTATATACCATCTATCCTCTTTCTCATTTCTATTCTCATCTTCTCTCTCCAAATATTTCCTGGAATCTGAATGTATTTTTTCCATGGCCCTGTCCTAGATTAGCAATGTAAGCCGTTCCAATTGAGCCTCTGTGATTATGAACGTAGCCAACTAACCTTCAACTAACCATCAAAAACTCCAATACAAGACAACCTATCTCATCTCATACAATCTTCACTACTATGGCTTTATTTCTTACAGCATACTAACATAAATCCCTACACCCACTATTACGCCTCTACCCTATCATTCCAGCTATAACTAAAATTACTTTCCATTTTTCAGCTCCTTTCCAAGGCTGCAGTATCCCCTGGATATAAAGTCTAAAAAAGAACATAAAAAAAAATCCGTCTTTGTGTTTTGGAGGCCTAGGTAAAACTGGTAGGAACCATAGAATTTAATTGCTTCTGCTAAGACCAAGTCTTAAAGTTGCATGCTGATAATAATGATCTTAGGAAATGAATAATGTCTCAACATTTTTGTAATGTTTCGACGGTCTGTGGACTTCTTTTTTTTGTCAGAGACATTACGTTTTGATAGGTTAAAGTGTTTTGAAGGACTACTTATGTATGGTAAAAAAAGAATCACATACATTAAAAATATAGGTCCTACTTCTTTAATTTGAGGTAGCGACCATATGATCCCAGCCAAGGTGATGTCATTGCACTGCATTACGCGTTCTCACTATTGAGGGGGAAAAGCTCGAACGAGCACAGTTTTCACCCTTTTTCAATGTCCATAATACTCTATTTTCCAGTACAGCTCTTTCTGAGGTTTAATTCTTCCAAGTAACCGTTGAGGAAAGAAGAAGACCCCTCTTATAATGGTTTAAGGATTTCTCTAAAACTCTTCTCTTCAAACATTCAGTCCAAAGACACTTTAAAACGTCAAAATGTAATGACCGTGACCAAAAAAGAATTCCCCTGTTCAGAAACAATTTGGGTTTTTTTTTTTTTTTTTAAAAAAGAAATTTTATTTAAATATATCGTAACTACTACAAGTGTTTCTTGTATCTATCTACGTGGCTTAAAACTAAAACTTAACAAACTGCATTAATTTTATATGTTAACGTTAGATAATACTATGATTATCTAAAAGAACAGGAATTGTAAATTCTCTGCCTTCTTTCTTAAATGTATTATAACATAAAGGTTTTTAGTTTAATGGTTTTGCATTCTTCCTTTCACCCTCATTCACACTCCATTCACACTCTCACTCATACCTTACAGACTACTTAAATCTTGATGGGAGTTCAAAGGTCTCCCACCTTTTTAACCTTTTCACAGGTATTGTACTATCTAAAAGGTTTAAAGCCTCTACATTGATATGCTTTTCAATACGACATTCATATCTCTTCGTTGTCTCAGCAATTACTTGTCTAACTGTGGGTACCTCTAATTCTCTCCTTATGTCTTCGTAACAATTTGGGTAAGTCGTAACTATTTTCATATGAACATATTTTCTGCAACAAAAGGATTCAGTTATCCTCAACTCTCTGTTTTCTTCCTCTTCTCTCACATTTGTTTCCAACTTGGTACTCTGACAACAACTTTCATGTTTCAGGGCTGAGAGAGGTTTTAGCGACAATGATCCCCAAGTTTGTGGAGCTCATAAAAAAAGATGAAGATCGGCTCGTAGTGACTTTGGTGTTGGAGTCCCTGGCTCTGATCCTAAAAGACATCGGGCCGCCTGTTCTCGAGGGGCCAAACCATCTGGAGCAAATAATTGAAAGTGTCAATGCAGTGCTGAACAAACAGACGGCCTGTCAGGATTTCATTGATGAGGATGATCAGGATGAAGCTGAGTATGATGAACATGTCTTGGAGGTTGCGTTTGAAATCTTTCCCGCCTTGGCGAAATCGCTTCCTCATAATCTGTTTGCACAGTATTTCTCAGCCGTACTGCCAGCAGCCGTCGGAAAAACGGTACGGTTTTTGTGTTCTTATCAATTTTTATGAACTACCTTTTTCCCACATCAAGGTGTCTACCAGTCCCCTAAAGTCCCTAATGTTCCCGATTATCCCCGATTTTGGAAGGATGTCCCCAATATCCCCGAAAGTCCCCAATTTTCTTGTTCGGGTCCCAAAAAAATGACAAGAATCGTCCTAAACACCGTCATTTTCAAATTTTCCTGCCAGCCGCGGCGGCGCAGTGTAATGAGGAATAAAAACTGAGGTGTTGCTTGGTTTTTCGTGTGTTTTCATTGGTTCAAAATGGCTTTTAAAATTAGTTGTATAAAATATGCTTTTAAACGCTCTAACTAGCTCCTTTTCTCTTACTATTTCGGGGAGAAAAAGTCCCCAATTTTCTTGAAAAAACACCCCCAAGAGTCCCCAAAAGTCTCCAATTTTTTTTTTTTATAACTGGTAGACACCCTGTGTACCTTTTTTCCACATGGTATCTTCAGGAAGAGGCTCAAATATCAGGAGAATTTTAGCTTCATGTCACCCTGTTGTTTGCGCACAGGGCTGTCCAGAGGCGGATCCAGCAATTTGGCAACATCAGCTTTCCTTCATTTAAACCTATACTAATTAATCGATTGTCGGAGCACCTGGCCCCTCCAAAAATTGATATATTTCCATAGGTTTATCTGGAGAAAAGACAATATTGCCTATTTGCTGGATCCGCCAATGGGGCTGTCGCAGTCAGGAAATACAGGGAAATGTCAGGGAAAAAGAAGTCAAGGAAAATCTGGAAGTGCCATGGCAAATGGTTAAATCCTCTCTATTTGCTTTCCAGAATGGGTTTAACGTTTTGAACAGTAGAGTTTGCAACTACCTATTCCATAAGTCTCTTAACTATGTGACATATCTTCAATTGAGGACACCGCACCAAGAACAGCCTATAACTGGAAACCGCGTTTTGAGAAAAACACATTTAAAGTTTTGTTTTTGATGTACTGCGCAGACTTTTCTATGCAGGTACCCTGTTTTGGTGTTTTTGGGTGACCTAACCCTTCTATTGAAGGATGCCGGGTAGATTTTGCGATACATTTTGGGTTTACACTTCAATGTATTTAATTTAAAAAAGCGGTTTATAGGTCATTATTACGTCCAACAGTCATTTTGGTGGCAATATGAAGTATAAATCATTTTAATCACGCATGATTAACGCAAAATGAAAGAATATCGATAGTGAGTATAGAAAGGGGTAACTAGCACCTTACAGGCCCTTAAGTTTATAGGCCCGTATCACGCCCAACTGTCATTTTGGTGGCAATATGCAAAGTATACATTTTTGGAGGAATGGATAGTTTGAGAGGAGAATAAATTATTTCAATAGCTCGTTTTTCTGAAATAAAAACAAATTTCTATAAAATGAGATAAAAAAATCGAGCCATCACTATCGCCGCGCTGCGCCGATGCCCGCGAACCGAGAATGATAAGGCCGCGCGTATAGGTCGTTCTTGCATCCATCGATCCAGAGGCCTGACTCAACTCGGAAAAAAAAGGGTTTTCGACCTCGAGCCATTACCTATCTATATTCTATCGCTACCACAGCATAGTCCAGGGTACGTAGAATCCGAAAAGCAGATGGGCGTAATAACGACCTATACGCCTATAGGCTGTTCTTGGTGCGGTGTCCTCAATTGTTAATTCACTTACTTACCAAATTACCAAAATGTGGCAGGGAAATCAGGGAAATGTAGGGCGATTTCATTCTTTAAACTTCTGTGGCCACCCTGCATCTATTTGCTTTACCTTTTCAATCAACATGTCTTTTCTGTTGAATTAAAATTGTGAAGGAATTTTCAATTTCTCGTTTTTCTCTGAGGTGAAGGAACTTCTCGACTACTGTACTTGCACGCAAAAATGGAATGTTGAAAATTTTCTCTCCTAACTCACTTTGGATCTAAATATTTGCTTTCCTAATTTTCTCTCCTCCTCAAAGAATTTATCAAGAAGAATTTTTGAAAATTAGATATCTGAAAATACAATATTCTAAAGAGAACAAGGTCCTAATTTCACCTGCTTTTGCCAGCATGACCTACAATCCTAAATTGTATGGTTTTTGAATCTGTCTTTACGAGAGTGACTCATGGCTTAAATTCTGTTCCAGAAAAAAGATTACTCGCACACAATTCGGGCCTCCAGCATCGGAATGATTGCCGAGTGTATGTGTGGTCTGGAAGACTGCATGGCTGATTTTGTACCAAAACTCCTCCCAACTCTAGTGCAGCTGTCCCAAGACAAGAATGAGCAGGTTCGCAATAATGCTATCTTTGGCCTCGGAGAGTTTGCTCTCTACGGGAAGGAATGGGTCTTTCCCTACTATGTTGAAATTCTCCAATCCTTGTCAAATACCATCGGCAACGAACAACATGGAGGAGTATTGGACAACATTTGTGGAGCAATATCAAGGCTAATTCTTTCAAATACAGCCTCAGTTCCTCTACCACAAGTAAGTACTTAAAACCTATCTCTCTAATATTTACTCAACCTTGAATTATCCTTTTTAGCAGCTCTTTTCAAGGCAAGCAAACTAGAGTAAAAGACCTACAGATAGGTATACTTCTATAGAACATCATACATATTTTAAGTCCATTATTTATCGTCCATGCGACAGTTCTCATAAACAAAGAACTATCTGAGGAATTTTTCTGTGATGTCAACTGATCTACCGATTTCTTGAATCAAATTGATGGTTTTGAGGCATTTGTCTGAGAATAAAATTCCATAGATTAATCTCCGCTGTCTTCAATCGAATTAATTTTCATAAGTGTACTTCCATGAAGAAAAACGTGGATAACGTGTTTACACTCACTTGCGCATAGTTGTTTCTTGCAGACGTGTTTCGCCGGCATTCCCAGGACCTATTTGTGATAAATGTTTTTTAACTTTTGCTTCTACAGCTCTCCATTAAATTGTTTGATAGTTTCTTAGAACGTCATATTTGCATCAGTTAGCTGTAGCTCATTTTACATTTCTCTCAAATGAACTTTTCTAAGGAATTTTTCTATGATGTCACCTAATCTACCGATTTCTTGAATCAAATTGATGGTTTTGAGGCATTTGTCTGAGAATAAAATTCCTTTGACCAATCTTGGCTCCTCCCTCTCGATCCTTGGCTGTTTTCAGTTGATTTAATTTCTCATATTTTTTTGAAGGATGAAAAATTTTCTCTCGCATTTAAGAAAACCAAATAAAACGGCAAGCAGCTGTGTTTTGAAGGAACAGGGAATTAATTCTTGTCGTTAGTCAGAAAAAGAATGAAAAGAGCACTCAAACTTTTTGAAATATGTCAACAGATACCAAATCAATTTAAAGAGCCCACAGCCTGATTGTTGAAACTTTATATGGCTTCGTTGGCAAGATGAGAGAAGACATAGTCCTATCTGGACTGTGTAATATATCGATTTTCGGTGACTTGTCGTGTTGATGTAAATTACAACAATCTGGACACTGAGCCTCTAAATTCTAACCAGAATTTTTTCTAAACCTGTCAGTAACGTCTTCGTTTCTTCAGATTTTTCCATGTTAAGTAATCAATTATAAATCATCAACAGGTTTTAAAGTTTAAGTGTTTGTTTGTTTATTATTTCATGTGTCTTTTTTTTAGGTTTTACCAGTTCTCATAGGAAAGCTACCTCTTCGTGAGGACTTTGAAGAAAACAAATGGGTTTATCGTAGTTTGCTTCACCTATATCAAATGGGCGATGAAACGCTCAAATCGCAAATTCAAAATGTGATATTCGTCTGTCTGCAAGTAGTCAGTAAAAAGCAACATAGTGACCAAGGTATGTTTCTTCTCTGTTCTGCTGTGCTAAGAAAAAACGCTGTATGAACCTCCATGCATTGCCCAATTTCCTCTGATTCAGTAAAAATCCCCTGGTAAACTTAAGGATATTTTTCTTTCAATTTTTTAGATCATTTTGTTTGTAATTCCACCTAAAGTTCGTGAAAATGTCAAGGAAAGATATTCATAACTTTTCCCAAAAATAAATATTTTATCGAAGGAAATTTGGCAACTCTCGAATGTTCATACGGCGTTTTTTCTTAGCACGGCAGTGTAACTCTCATTCAAACAAGTAGTTGGGGGTATTAAGATAAATTATACTCATCTGCTTTTCAAAATGTTTTAATTTTCTTCTCAAATTATTCTACTTTTGTTTCCCTAAATTTATGTGCCATATTCATTCTATTTTCCCTGAAAAATGGTGTGGACCAAGCACCATTTTTCCACCTTGTTTAGAAATAACGTATGTACCATTAGTTTCCCAATGTACTTAAGTGTTTTTAGGGATGAGCCAGAAATTGTAGTTGCTAATTGCAAAATGAAGTTCAATTAAACCCAAGGTTTTGATTGTCTTGTCGGTGTGTCCATTTAACCTTGAAAAACATTAATTTTTAAGTGAATCAAATTTTCATTACTGAAATAGAAAAACTCTCCCATGGAAGAAGATGTATTCATTCAAAGGAATGAATATTTGTCTCATAGTTTAACTCATTTCAACGGTGTTAGTCGGCAATCACACAACTCGGTTGCGACGTTGCAGACTTCCTGTCATCCTTTATTTTTTAAACGGAAAACTACTTAACGGGAATTCTTTAAAACTGCCGTGATTTTTCTTCTCTGTGAGAAGAAAATTCTGCATAAACTTTAAGGAATGATGTCAATTTGTTCTCCTTTGAAAAGATTACTTAGAGGCGGAGATTTTCAGACACCGCAAACGAGTTATGTGATTGCCGACTTACAGTGTCGATTTGTCATAATGATAATTGGCTGTGTCCTAATGTCATATTCTTTTTTGTTACAGAAACTTTAGAACTGCTGGTTAATCTCCTAAAAATGTGTCACAAGGACTTCGGAAGTGCTTGTGAAGCTGTTGTGAACAGCAATCCTGACCTTAAAGAGACATTTGAAACGGTCATCAAATCATAAAATTGTAAAGTGGAGCTGCTTGTCGATAATCTATGTTAAGCTTTTTTGTACTCGGCTTTTTATATGACTTTATTCTTTATACTCCAAAAATTATTTATGTTAATTAAATTCCCTTGTTGACTGAAAATGAACTTAATCATTTCTTCTCTCTTGTTTTTCTATAAGTTCTGTAACAATTCTCTTTTCTTAATTCTTGAGAGATTAAGTGACGGTCTAAGGAAGAAAGGACCCACAGTGCGCTGAAATTCTTTTTAAGAGGACAATTATCGCTAAGTTGAGTGAATAAAATTGAAAGTTAAGCTTTCAATGAAGAAAACTCCAGTATTCTGTAGAATATGAACACGTATTTGGTCAATGACCTCACTTTTTGAAGTGAGGGAGCACAACAATAAAGCGTTAACTGGACTGCCGGGACGAAGTCAATAAGTGGCTTGGAGGACAAGGCAAATTAGTGCAGTTTTGGAAATAACTGAGACAGTGATGATTTCAAGTAAAACTAGTCTTAATGCATACTCTTGACCATTCAGTGACCATTCAATGACCATTCAATTTTTAGTGATGCAGTTAATATCTAGACAGAGATTTTCTGCATTTTATATTTTTGAAATTATCAATAGAAGTGTAGGAACTTTTCTGTTCCTAAAAATTTAGTAAGATGAATCAATTGTGGAAGCAAAGAAATTTTGCTTCATTGATGGTTCCACTTTAAAATTTTGGCTAAGAACGGATGTGCATGGAGGTAAATTTCAGCTGTCTCCTACAAAAGAGACTATTTTGTAAATTCTTAACTGAGGACTTGCTTGATAAAAGGGTGTATGAAGCATGCAATACTGCTAAAGATGTGCAATTTTTTATTGCGTTAGCAGCATAGATGAAATTCATTCACAGTCAATTCACTTCCTTACAATAGTGAGGAAATACCTGGAGCAGATTCCGGGAGAATTTCATAGCAGATGTTACGGCAACCAGAGAACTACGTCGCACAATCTTAGCAGCATTGGGAGTCTCATACGCCCTTTTACCGTAAGATGTCTCAACTGCAGATAAGAGATCGCCAACAAAAACTATCACATACCATTAGAAAATCAATTGGGTGGTTTTAGCATTCACATACTTTCAAAAATCCAGGTTTTACAAATGAAAGTTTCCGGATAGAAAAACAGTTAAAAATTATTGCCTGCAGGCGTAACTAACCCGAACCCGTTACTTGCCGAAAATTTGAAGGTAAACCAGTGTTTTATGAAAAACCGCTCTATTATAGATTGAGCGGGGAATTTCAAAACTGTTCATAATTCCCGGGAATTTCCTGTTCCGGCCCGGTTCACTCCCATTCCCAATTTCAAGTGGTTTTCAAATATTCCAAACACATGGCACAGGGAACATGAAAGCGGACTGTTGAGGGTGTTATTTTCCTACCCACCCGCTCGCGTTACTTATTTCTGTTAATTTTTCTGTTTTACATTTCTAAACTTTTATCTCCTTTCTACTTTTGTGTAAGTTTTCCTCTGTTTTTCTTCGTCATTATCTCTCGTTGGTCCTCTCTGAACTTCCAACTGCGTGGTGCGTTGGAGAAGCAACGTCTGCCAAGCATCGTGCTGTACCCTACTTCCAAATGATTTCATCATGACTGGTGAGTTTAAAGTCCAAACTACGTTTTTCATTCACTATTAACCAGATTAGCACTTTCTCTGCGCATTTCCAATTCATCCTGAACTCGAACATGCATTTCAGGAAAATTTTACACCATTCTGACCCTTTGAACCATGCCTCCATCTTTAGGTTCCCAATTCCTGGAATCCCTTGTAAATCCCCCATCAATTATCTTACAGGCCAATTTAGAACTCGCACACTGCCTTTGTGTAGAATATTTGTGTTCAGCTCAGACTCCTCGGCAAAATCTCTGGAATAATCCAAGTTCTCCTTTCCTGGTATTTCATCTCATCCTCAATTGGCAGGAGATAGACCTTATTCTTGACCTAACCTAAATGCCAAATTTGTATCAAATGAGGAAAAGAACTGCCTATTATGCTTCCTAATAGCCTCCAATTAGGGGTTAGATATTGATTTTTTCATCTAGCCATTGTGTTTCTCAGTTATGTAATTATCAGACCAATGACTTGTCCACTTGCTCGTGAATGCTCTGTATTCGTTCGATAGGTATCTGCTAGCAGCCTATGTAGCCCAAGCTATATATAAGACCGCAAATCCATTGAGTTAAGAAGTGAGTAAATTGCTTGCTTGGGTGTAGGTCTTTGTATTGAGATCAGACCACACTGAACACTCATTAAGAAACTTGTTGGATTAGGTTTGTCTTCGTATGAGTAATTATGGTCCTAGGTGTGGAGACGGAATTAAGAACCGTAGCGTTTGGATTGATGCTATCTACTACCATATATTCAATTGTCTCTAGTCTTTAGCTTTCTGTTTGTTTCAATCAACTGCCTAACTTACAAATGTTCCTTTCTAGTGAACTGCTCCACTAATGAGAATTTTTTTGGTCAAAATTACGATTTATTTTGCTCTGTCTCAAGCATATTGCAGTTTCTTTAATTAACACGATACCAAAATTTGTTTAAGTTTTGGTTGCATATATTATTAAATTGGTCATGAAGTTGCAGATGACTCTTCTGCAGCATTTTGCCACTGCTTTTGCTTATCTGCTCTACTCCTGGAGTCAAAGTTTTATCTTTTTTGCTGATGGAATTGGCTACTTGTTGACTCTATCCGGTCAATTCCAGCATCTTTTTCAAGTTATCTGCCAGTTCTCAAGACTGGGGGTATTTATTGAGATAGTTCTATGCAGAAATTGATTTTCATTGCTCCTATGAAAGAGAAAAGCTGTTGAAGAGAATCAGAAAACATATGCTTCAAGTTCGTCTGACACTTGGGACAAAATAATGCAGAACCATGTCGAAAGTTTCGAGCATAGCTACTGAAAACCTCAGTATTCAAGCAAGGTATCTGTTTGTATTCTTTGAACTTTGTCAGATTGGATTTTTCAAGCAATTTTGAGCTCTGGAAGTTTAAAATTCTGTTTTGATTATGATCGAAGAAGAGGACACAACAGGAGATAGGCTAGAACTAGGAAAAGAAAAGATTGGACTAAAGTCACATCAACCATAATGCATCAATCATCAGTCGACCCATTGGTTAGCACATAAATTCTGTTGAGTGATGCCATTTTCTCATGTCCATTCTTTTCTTTTCCCAGTTTCAGAAGCAAATTGCAGAAAATGTTTACACTGAGCAGCACAAGTTGGTATATCTCGGCTCTTGTTTACTTTTCTTCGTCGTAAAGTCCAGTTTTTCTACGCTCTTTTCGTTTGATAGGAATGATGCAAAGCACGTTTTCAGCAGTGTTAAATACTTCTAACTACTCTGCGCAGTTGATAGGTGCATTGTCGAAGTAAACTGTTAAGGAGCAGAATTACTCAATGCCAAATGTTTGGCATTGTGAGACTCAGTTTGGATCACCGGATAACTTTTCTGTTTACATATGAAGCCCAACATTTCTATTCAATGTTCATAGGTCTACAGACAACTGCTGAGTTGCATCTAGTAAACAGAACAACCAAACGGTAATTGGATAAGTTTACTTTGACAACGCACCCAATGATGTCCATTACCACTCTGTATGATGGTGCAAAACTGCTATCCATTATGTTGTCGCTTGAACCATTTGCTTTCGTTCGCTGTATTATGATTTTGTAGAATAATTCACTCCTTGTGCTGTTCGTGTTTGTATTTCTGTTGATACGATCAAGGGTTGTAAGATCATTCTTTGCACTGCCCTGTATCAAATGTTGTCTCTACACCTGCTCTGAACTTCATACAATGAAAGTACTGCAATAAGTTCCCTTCTTAGCCGGAGCTAAAGCATGCTTTTTCTTAAGGTGTACTAAAAGTCTTGTGAAGTATATTTGGTTCAGATTATTTTTAGCAAAAGCCAAGAATCTCATGGCACCATGAGTTAGCATAAGATCCACTCTCCAGGTCAGAATATTCAATGAAGTCCTGAAGTTCACTCTGTAATCGTAATTTTCCATGAAAAAAAAAATTTTGAAGGTGAAGGCTTGTATTTTTTTGTTTCTGAGGTTCTCAAAGTTAAGCAAGAAAGGCAAAATGCATTTATTGTTTTGAAATTATGCATTCTGCCTTTAAATTGGGAATTCACCCGCAAGAGTTAAGATAGCTGGATCGCAAGATATTGTCTGAGATTTGGAACTTCAAGATTTGGAACTTCAAAATTTCATCAGTAAAACCTGAATTCAAGCTTGAAGTATGCACATGCCGAAACAAATTGTTGGATTTGAGTAATTATCTGCAATTTGTTGCTTACTTATTTGCAGCTATATTTCAGATTTCAACCAAAAAGTGTTCGATATCACAGTGCTGCCTAATGTACTCTCGCTATACAGGGTATCTCAAAGTTTACGTGCATATATTCTGAGTCGATTTTTGGGATCAAAATAAAACTTTTATGCCCTGTAACATTTTCCCCCAAAAAATCTGTCCTCCCTGGAGGGACAGAGTGACAGCCCCTCAAAGTTTAGCCTTTACACCATTTCTCTTGATTCTGACACAGTAATTAAAGAAAATGGATGAACCTTGGGATTCAAATGTCCTTTGGCATGCTATACGCATTTTTGATGTGAAACAGAAAACCCGAAAACCAATTTTAAGGGGAGTTTTCAAGGGGCTTAGATTTTTGAAAGGGGAATTTTTCGGAGAACTTCATAGGACATATTGCTCAAGTCCTCTTCTGATTCTGAAAACATTTGCCTTCAACTTTGGTTCCAATGTTAAACGGCAATTTTACCGTACTTAGATTTATTGTAACCAGGGTGTCTACAGTCAGTAAAAACTGGAAAATATCAGAAAACTTGACTTCATCAGAAAAAATCAGGAAAATCGGTCATGGACCAAGAAATTCAGAGTGTGTCCGGAATTTTTCAGCTCCATTTAGTCAGCACATGAAAAAATGCAACCTTCGATTCAATTCGTTGAGTATGGACGGTGAAACTGCAAAAATGCGTATTTCAGTCGCGGTGTTTCGAAATCACCGTCTCTACTATATTTTTTAGAAGGTGACCGAACCAACATCATGGTTTGAGAGTTGAAATCTTCACAGAATATTTTTATGATGAGACGAAAAATCACTAAAATTGATTTAAAAAAAAAAAAAAAAAAAAAAATCCGGCATTAATTCCGCATTTTGGGACTTTGGCGATTCCTCGGTGTTTTATTTGAAATCCTCACAGTTCCCGGAATGTCCCAGAAATTCTAGCTAATTTCGGAATTTTCCGGGGAATTCGGGGTTTTATCGTCAATTTGATCACTGAGCACTTGTTCCACATGGATGTTTTTTTTTTCCTTCTTTTTTTAAAATCAAATTTGACGATCTTCGGAACTTAATCCGGGTTTATGTCGGAGTTGTTTCCCGGAACTTTTTTAAAAATTGGGGTTTTCCCCAAAATTCGGGACTTTTCGTCAGTTCGACCGAATATTCGATCAAATTTGCTGTTTTTTAAAAAACAGTTGACGATCTACGACACTACACTGCCGTGCCAAGGAAGAACGCCGTATGAACCTTTGAGAGTTGCCCCAATTCCTTTGATAAAACATGTATTTCTGACGACATCCATGCATATTTTTCCTTGAAATTTTCAGGTATTTCAGATTAAATTGCGCGCAAAATGGTCCGGAAATTTTGGAAAAACCATTCACAATTTTCCTAATAAATTCGGTTTTTTATCGAAGAAAACTTGGCGATGTCTGAAGGCTTATGCGACGTCCTTCCTCAGCACGGCAGGATATCCGGGTGTATTTCGGAGTTTCTCCCGGAACTTTTTAAAAAACCGGAAATTTTTCGCGGAATTTTCGGGAATCGGCATCAATTCCGGGACCCCCGGCATCTTCGGTAAAATATAACAGCAGCACTTCTCCGCACTGTCCGTCGAAGACCGTTTTCCCTTTCCGTCCGAAGCAACGAGCCCCGGGTCCCACGCCCGGGGGGNGGGGGGGGGGGGGGGGTTTGGACGGGGGCGCGGCCGGCTGCCCCAAGCGTGTGTGCTCTCGGTTTCCGGTTCCCGTGGCCCCCGTGGGCCGTCCTCGCTGCAGTTGCAGTTGCACTCGCTCCGGCGTCGATCGTCGAGCCGAGCTTCGGTGCAACGACGCAGCGTCAGGTCCGTCGGACAGTGCTGCGCTCTGACGGACGTTCGAATCGGATGCATCTTCGCCGAGTCAAGCGCCCCTCCTCCCCCCCCATCGCCCCTGTGCACCGCGGCACGGCTTGCACCCCTGTTTATTATTTCACCTTGCGCCGATGCCGCGCCGCCGCCCAAGTCACCCTTTTTCGGTCGGCGGAAATCTTCGGACGGGAACATACAGTGCTGACATTTCCCGGAATTAATTCCGAATTGCGGAACTTTTCCCGGAATCTTCTGAATCCCCGGAATTTTCAGCCATTTTCTGAATTTCCTCGGAATATGCGGGTTCTCGCCAGTTTGACCATTTTTTCGATCAAATTTCGGGATTTTTGATCAAATTTGACGATCTTTAGAAGTAAATCCGGGCGTGTTTCGGAATTTTTCATAGAGAAAAAAAAGGAGGTGTTTGCATCTTGAGGTT